AATGATTTTGTGCATGGCTTTCATACTTAGTATTTTTTGTGCTAACCCCTTCTTTTCTACTTTTTCTACAAGTGTAGGCTTTGGAGATATTGGATTCCATCCTCGTGGCTAGATTCATAGGAGATCAACAAGAAGAAGATTGGTGAGTCCTCATTGTATTCGAGGGCTCAACCACATGTCCTTTATTGTCTTTCTTTTATGTTTTAAACTTTGGTTGTAAGGGCTATGTCCCTAGGATTGTATTCACGATTTTTATTCTAAGTAAAATAGATGGTTTGAGACATAGTGTATAGACTTTATCATTTTTATAAAAGACTTTGATTGTAAAGAAAAGTTTTAAATTCTGCACTATTTTCCTATGATCTTATGACAATGATTATGCTAAGGGCTTGTATGAGACCCCTTTAGGGTCGAGTACGTCGTGTTATGTCTAGGGGGTACTCCTGGGTCTTGACAAACTTGGTATCAGAGCATAAGGTTTTGGGATAATTTTAGGATGTCTCAAACAATATCTAGTAGAGTCTTGTTCATAAATGTGAAGCGTGCCACATTTTATGAATAAGAGGCTATCGGATGTTAGGAAAAACTTCACTTTTTCATTCTTTAGTCATGCCATAGAGCTTAACTTCATAAGGTCTTTCTCCTATTCCTTATCCTATGGTCTTTAGGGTATGGCCACTTGTAGGTCTCTTGCTACAAGGAGCGAGTGAGAAAGGTTAGTTGTGATGCCAATTATGGCTATGTGACTTGTGAGATTTGAGGTAATAAATTGTGATATTGCCTTTGGTGTGAATAATGCTTCATAGTTGCCTTTGTGTTATGAAGATTGGTTAGAAGAATTTGAGTAGGCTTACTCCCAAGAGGGCTCAACCACATGCCCTTTATTATCTTTCTTTTATGTTTTAGGCTTTGGTCGTAAGGGCTATGTCCCTAAGATTGTATTCAAGAGTTTTATTCTGAGTAAAATAGATGGTTTGGGACATAGTGTATAGAATCTATCATTTTTATAAAAGACTTCGATTGTAAAGAAAAGTTTTAAATTCCGCACTATTTTCCTATGATCTTATGACGATGATTATGCTAAGGGTTGTATGAGACCTCTTTGGGGTCGAGTATGTCGTGTTATGTCTAGGGGGTACTCCTGGGTCGTGACAGATTTGACCTCGACTCTTAGTTGGATATTTTTTATTGACGATGACCGCTTATTCTTTGGATTTATTTTAGGGAGTAGTTTGAGCGTTATCAAAAATATTGTATGGAGTGCCCTTGTCCATTATCTCCGATCGTGGCACTCAATTTACATCTCAATTTTGGAAGTCATTTCAAAAGGGTCTTGGTACTCAAGTGAAACTTAGCACGACTTTTCACCCTCAGACCAATGGACAAGCCGAGCGTACCATACAGACTTTGAAAGATATGTAAGAGCTTGTGTAATTGATTTTAAGGGTAATTGTGATGATCATTTGCCTTTGATCTTAAAATAATAATATCTATCATTCTATCATTGGGATGGTATCGTTTAAGGCTCGTTATGGTAGGAGGTGTAGGCTTTCTATTGGTTGGTTTGTAGTTGGTGAGGTTGCTTTGATGGGTCCCGAGTTGGTGCATGAGGCTATGAAAAAGGTTCGACTTATTCGTGAAAGGTTGAAAATGGCTCAAAGTCAATTAAAAGTTTTATGCTGATGTTAGAAAAAAAAGAACTTGAGTTTAAAGTTGGTGATTGATTCTACTTGAAAACCATATCATATTTTGAGGCGTATTGACAAAGTTGCTTATGAACTTGAGTTACCTAATGATATAACATCGGTGCATCTAGTTTTCCATGTCTCTTTATTGAAGAAATGTGTTGGAGATTTTCCGTCCATTGTGCCTTTAGAAGTATTAGGAGTTACATAAAATATTTCTTATGAAGAGGTTTCGATTGATATTTTAGACTGACAAGTTTGGAAGTTGAGAAATAAGGAAGTTGCTTCCATGAAAGTTCTTTGGGGGAATCAATTAGTTGATGGTGCTACTTGGGAGGTCGAAGCCAATATGATGTCCTGGTATCCTTATCTTTTTCCCTCCGCTCTTATTCTAGCCTGAGGTATTAGTTCCTCATGGTTCATTCTTTTAGATTCAGGTGTTTAGTCATTCTCATATTTCCATATGCATCATGATTCATGAAAAACTTGATTTTTGACGTTATGATTTAGCTTGGAGTGCTTCTCGATGTTTTATGTGCATTATGATAAGAGTTGCATTCATGTTAGGGTTGTTAGTTTCTCTCCTACTCTATTCATGCTAACTTGAGTCTTATTCGATGACGAATATTCCCAAGGGGGAGATATTGCAACACCTTGAAAATTGGAAAGTCGAGTGGAATGGGAAATTTTACAGAAACTTAGCACTGGATCACTTCCTATGAGCCCACCTACTGACCGTAGAAGGTCATATGGCTTGTATAAGGGAGTCGTAGGAAGGGTCTTGAAGGGATGACAAATTTTGGGTCTCTTAACTTTCCTACAGACAACCAAGACGTTTCGTAGAAAGTTCTATAGCCCGTAGGAATGGATCCATCGAAGAGGTCTATGACTTTGTGAAATCTTTTGGAAGAAGGGTTCTTCAGGAAGGGCCTATGGACCGTAGGGGAGTCATCAATTCGTAGAAGCCTTTCGTTCAATTGTTCAGGATTTTTGTCCCTCTGTAGTTGATCCTACAACTGACCAGGACGGTCCATAGGAATTCTTACGAACCGTAGGTCGGAGTCGTAGGTGTCTTCCAACAGATATTTATTAAGGGTATTTGAGTATTTTTCTATGCATTTAATGCCTATACTGTGTCGTTTTGACCCTAATTTTTTAGTCCTATAACTACCTTTCTATTTCTACATCTACCCATACCCTATCATTCACTCAAATCCCCAAATCCCCAAATTCCATCCACATTCATCCTCTCCAAAAGTCTCTCAAGTCCAAGAAGAAGATTAGAGTTTCAAGCTTCAAGTCTCATATTCCTCCATTGATTTTGGGCTTTGATAATCAAGGTATTTAGGGTTTCATCAATGGGTTCCATTCACCCATTGATCTCCGAGGATTTCTCAATTCTCCAAGTTTAATTTCATCAATTTGATAAGGTTTTCATTCAATTCTCCATGGGTTCTAATTGTGTTGATTCGATATTTGATTTTGATCTTATAATTTATTGTTTTGACTCAATTACATGATTTCCAATTGATTTCAAATGAACCCATGCATTGATCATGATTTTTGACTATGAACTCTTAAAGACATGAATTGATGAAGAAACTATGAATCTATGAATGATGTTTTTATGAAGGTTGTGCATGATATATAAAAAAGAATGTTATATGATCTAGGTTTCTTTAAGATAAGCATCAATGAAAATTGTGAAAGATTTTCTCACATTAAGGGTGAAAGATTTTCTCACTCATGGTTTAAGGAGCTACTATATGATGATTTAAGCTTGTATTAGTAACTAAATTATGATTTTCCATGTATAATGATATGTTTATGATTATGACTAATTCTGTTGAAATTTAACTTAGCACCAAGAGAACTATGAGATGGAGGCTCAAATAGGGTAATCTCTAGTAGCACCCTCTAGTTCCCAACTACGTGCCCCCGTAGGATTGTCTTAAATGACCTAGCTAGTGGATCCGCAAATAGCCTATGAATCATGATACAGAGTTCTCCATTGGCAAGTAGACTCTCCCATCTAGATGTGGGAGTTGCATTGGATTCCATGTTGTAGCTCACATGGTCTATTATCGATTAAAGTTAATATCCCACAAAACGAACTAAGTAACTTTCAAAGATTTTATGAAGCTTTCATCATGATTTTTAGATTTATTCATCATGTTCATGGTTTACGATTCTTCTTTAAATGATTTTACTATGTTTATCTTGGTCATGCATATTATGTTTTCGATTATGTCCCCTTATGATCATGTTTCGTATTTTTATGTATATCCATCATACGTATTACATTTCATATACTAATGCATACTTGTGCCTACATTGTCTAATAATGTATACGGTGCGACACTTCCTCTCCTCCCGTGCGTGACTAGTGGCTTGATTGTTCGAAGTTTGAAGAGTTGGTGAGTCATCATGTTCCGAGGACCATGCCACCTTTACTTTACTTTTCTTGTGTCATTAGTTTTCGGATGTTGTACGTGGTGTACGGGTTACGTCCTGACCACTTCTTTGATGTATTAGAATGACTTGTCAAGATATGTTAGATTTTCGCTTTTATGCCAAATTTCATATTCATACGAGATTCTCTACTTTTGTCTATTATATTGTGTGTATGTATGTGAAGTGGCTTGTGTAGGGCCTCTCGGAGCCTTATCTGATATGTCACGTCTAGGGTGTACTTTGGGTCGTGACAATACATAACATAATAATCTAAAAAGTTACAACAATAATTTAGTAATCAGTAGGTCATTTTCAAATTCACCAATATTCGAAAATAATAATAATTAGTATAAGATCCAAAGAAATACTCATTTTGATCTCCATAATGCATTAATAGAGCATTTATGGGAGCAACGTAATGATTTTGAAACTTGAGTATTTATGTAATGTTTACATAATTGTATTAAATTAATGAATTCACTTTTTTTTGAATTGTCCATTAATATGTATAATATATAATATTTGTTTGCAATTTATGTTATTTAAAAATTTAGATTAAAATATAATTTTATATTAAATAAATAATTTGAAAAGAATAAAATTTTATATTACATGAAAATTATATAAGGTGATTATTTGGAAAAAAGAAGAAGAGATTTATATTATGAAATAAGAAAATAAAAATAAAATAGAAATAATAAGAGAAAATTATTTCTTTTCTGAGGATAAAATAGAGAATTGAATTGACATTGGTTGTTTCTAAAAATAGAAAACTTTATATTTAAAGAATAAAACAAAAATTAGGATTGAAAATGCCTAGCTACAAAGGAATGCCAGAAAAAAAAGAATGTAAATACCGAATTATACATAAGAGGGTAACTGGGTCGGACGGCCAGAATGGAAGGAGGGCGAAAAATGCAGATGTTGTGGCGGGAGAGAATAAGCGCGCTTTCACTAAAATTTTAAATAATTCCCCGTTTCCCCCCAAAAATATAAAACATTGTGCTGCTAAGATTTATTATTATTCACATCTCACTATTCAGCTTCTCTCACAAGTCACAAATCACAGTTTTTGTAAACTACGAAGAAATACAGGATTTATTGGGGGAGAAAATGGCAGATATTTCGCATCTTGAAAGAATGGGAAGAGAGCTCAAATGCCCCATCTGGTACACTTCATCCTTTACATTTTTTTTCTTTTTAAATTTTTGATTTTGTATAATCTTAATGTTTCTTTTTCGTTTTGGTCTATGTTCACAGCTTGAGTCTGTTGAATTCTGCTGTTTCACTTACATGTAATCATGTATTTTGCAAGTAAGTGAAGTCCATGACAAAATGTTTTTTTTTTTTGAGTGGGAATTAGGATAATTTGATTTTCCGTTTTTGCAGTTTATGTATTCAGACTGGTATGAAATCTGGGTCCAATTGTCCGGTGTGCAAAGTTCCATTTCATCGCAGAGGTTTGGTTTTTTTTTCTACCCCTTTATCAAATTTTTAAATGTCGCATTTGTATTTTAGGGTTTGAATTTATAGAAGCATTTGTGTTACAATAAATAAAATTGCCTAAACATTGAAGACTCTGTATATTGCAATAATGGTAATCAGCTCAGCAGTTGTATGGTATGATGAGAGTTTATATATACTTTACAGAATAATCAATGTTGAGGTGCTAGCAGGGGTGATCAATAAGTAGGGCTGCTCTTTTCAATTAAAGAACATTCTAATTTAGCTCATAACGTGTGATTGAAAAGCCAGTTTCCTCGTTTTGCATGTTCGTTTTAGATTCCCCGTGCTCATGGAGTCATTACAGTTCAATTTGCTTTAACTTATATGTCCCGTTACACAAAAACTTAATTCAAGAGTAATGTTTTCATTGTTGCTTTTACTGTGCGGATTATTTTTAACTCTTTTTTCTTTCCTTGTTTAACTTCTATAATTATTCGTGCTACAGAAATCCGACCTGCTCTCCACATGGATAACTTGGTGAGCATCTATAAGAACATGGAAATCGCTTCAGGAGTCAATATGTTTCTCACTCAATCCAATCCTTCATCAAAATTGCCAGGTAATATTCAATCAGTTGTCATTCATCAATCTTCTGAAGCTTTGCATGTATGAATGTTCCTACTATCATCATGAGCATTCGTTCAACAAGGGTGTTTGGAATAGATAGTTTGGTGTGCTAATCCATGCTTGAACTGGTGTGTCTTTCATGTTAAAACTTGCATGCTTTTGTTTTGCTGTGTTTCCAATTGAAACAAGTGACATTCAGGAGTTTTTAGTTAGTTCTCATCAAGTTAATTTGATTTTGTCAATAATCAACCTCATTAAAGACATCATATTTGTAATTCATGTAGAGCATTAGATGGTATGGATGCCAGTAACTCTGCTTTGCATCTGATCTTCATTCTTTAGTTTTTGAAAATAATACAAATGTATTTGTTTTGATCAAAATTATGGTTCTGAAGAGGCTAATATGGCTTGGCCAATGGCCATAGTTATTATCACTTCGGTAAATAATTTTGGTGTGGGGCATCTTTATCTTTTATACAGGGGAAGACACTCAATCTAATGGCGAAAAAAATTGTGGATTCCAAGAGACATCTAAAACTGTAACAGAAGCTCCAGCGACAGGCAATCAGAAAAGAAAAAGAGGGAAAGGTTCAAAAAAATCTTCAGGGTGCAACAAAAAAATTTCCGGATCAAATCTTATTAGACCTTCTTTTCCGACAAAGAAGAGAGTGCAGGTGCCACAATATCCACCTTCAGAGACTCCACCACCTACAAAGTTAGTTGGTGGAAATGGTAAATCCATCACCGATGAAGTTCAGAAACCATTGGTAATTGAGAGAGACAGGTCTATGCTATATGAAAAAGGAGAACCTGTACTATCTCCATTCTTCTGGCTGAGAGAAGAGAATATAGAAAGATCAAGTCAGCAAACAGATGGGGACATTATCATGGATACACCTCCAGCCGTTCCATCCTTCAGCGATATGAAGGACTTGGATGATGAGGTTCACTGCGAAATGTCTCCAAAAGTAAGTACCATAGTATCCAACTTATAACTGCTTCCCCTCCAGAATGAAGTATACCCTTAAACTGGAAAATTGGCAAGACTTGATTGTTTGGCCTGATGTGTTGGCAGGATAGGCTTCTATTCTACAGTCTGATTTTCTGAGTCCTCCTATATTGCTTTTTTGATCTTTTTTTATCCCTTTTCTGTTGGATGAGGGAGAGAGGTTGCTTCCAAGTCTGCATGATTCTTATCATTTGGTATTTATTTTTCAAATTTCCTTACAGTACATAAAATATTACTATAGAAACGCTTTAATCAGGTTTTTGGTTATTCTCCTTTCCTACCCTTCAACTTAGCTTTCATGTTTTATGATCCAGAGTCAAGCTTATTGGTGATCTTATTTCTGTATGTATTTGATTTGAAGAAATTTCATTGATTTTCCCACTTTTTCGCTATACAGAGTGGACCCTATGATGCAGCAAGTGGAGCAGATCTTTTTAACAGTGAGATGTTTGACTGGACACAAAGAGCTTGCTCCCCTGAACTTTGTTCTAGCCCCTTTAAGATGAAGGTACTTCTCTGTGGTATAATTACTGCCTATGGAGTCAAAACTGTTTTCTTCTTTCTCATTTTCCAGACTTGTTTAGTCTCTAATTTCTCTCTTTTATGGTTTAGCTTAAGGATACTATTGATTCTGCTGGAGCTCAGGAAAAGACTCAAGCTCGCTCAGTTGAGGAAAGTGGTATTAATGCATCAGCAACTGAAAACAGAACAGCTGTGGAAAATGAAAAGGGTACTGATAAAGGACAGCTGAGTTCACCCGCTTTATTTCCTCCTGAAAATAAAACCACTAGTAGAAAAGACGTTGTTTGCAAGTCTAGCAGGAGTAAGGCATTGAGAATTAGCCAGAAGAAACAAGGAAAAAGCATAATTGGAGAAGTATCAGAAGTTCATAATGCTTCACCAAAAGCAGCTGAAAAAACTATGAAGAACAATCAGGATAATGCCAATGCATTTATCTCGAATAAGAAGGATTTGAAAAACAAGAAAAAGGGTAGATCCTCTAGAAATGTCACTGGGTCAGTAGTAGAAGACATTTCCACTTTATGTGGTGCTAAAAGACTTCGCAAGGGCAATAACTCGAAGTCCTTCAACTTGTCTACTCTTGTGAATCAGGAAAAACACAGTGAAGGAAGTGTTGAGACACTTGACTTGAAGACACATAATAAACTCCGCAAGGGATCATTAAGTGAACAAAATAAAAACTGTTTTGGACCAAAAGGCGGACAAAAAACTGCTGCATGTAACATTCCACAAACTCAAGATGAAGCTTTGCCTTTCGAATCAGCAAATAGATTGATTCCCATGGATAACAGGAAACCTACTCCTAGTACAAAACTGAAGAAATGTGAGCTCGGTAGTGGCAACAAGCTTCATGGGAAGAAAAAAGTGAAGTTTTCTGACAATGGGCAGCTTGCTGACAAGGATAATATTACGCTTCAAAAGATTCAGAAGAGAGTGCACAATTCATTGGAAACAGAGAAATCTGTTTTGAACTTGAATGATTCAGTTTTGCAGAAGTGTGAGGCAAGCCAAAACCAAATACAGTGTGCTTTCTGCCGTTCAGCAGAGGAATCTGAGGTAGAAGCCATTGATTTTTGTGTTTCTTTTTCTGGTTCCCCCTTCTATTTATTCTTAATTCTTAAAATCTGCCTTTTGATTGTATATTAATTGTATACCATTTTCTGTTACCAAATTTCAGGTTTCAGGAGTCATGGTAAGCTACCTTAATGGAAACCCTGTCAAAGAAGATGTCAATGGAGCACCGGGTGTTATACATGTTCACAAATATTGTGCAGAGTGGTAATTACTCTTCAGAAGGTCCTCTTATCTTTCCTTCATATAAATGTGGTAATGGTAATTTATAAAAATTATCTGCAATAATAACAGAAACTTCTTGGCTTTATAGATAATTTCATCATCAGTGTCACAAATGTCTTGTTTAATCAAGTCAATTTCGTATTTTTAATTAAAAGGGAAGTGTAAATCTTTTATCTGCATCTAATGTGTTCAATGTACAGTAATTTGTCCTTGTCAAATCATTTTCGAATCTGTTGCTAGTCAAATTGTTTCTAGTGTAAAAAGCAGAAATGCACATCTACAGGGCCCCTAATGTATATTTTGGAGACGATGATGTGGTCAACCTTGAATCTGAACTGAAGAGGAGTCGAAGGATCACTTGTTTTTTCTGTGGAGTAAAGGGGGCAGCTCTTGGGTGTTATGAGACGAGTTGTCGCAAAAGCTTTCATGTTCCTTGTGCCAAATTGACACCAGAGTGTAGATGGGATTCTGTACGTCTTAAATTCAATCCCCAGAACTATATTTCATAAAAGATTCAACGCCACTTACTCCATTTTCCTTGTTGCAGGACAACTTTGTTATGTTATGCCCTTTGCATGCTAACTCTAAGTTGCCATGCGAGATCCCAGGAAAACAGACAAAGATTGGAGATAGTATTAAAAGGTTGGACTAACAGATTCTTAGAACTGTTGTTAGCTGAAAATTTTACATTTTGGCTCCAAGTACTTATTCCCTTTCTTTTTGCCTCTAATATGCAGAAATTCTCGTATCCACCAACCCAAAGTCTCAGCAACACCTGATAATGCTGCTACTTTGCAGTGGAAGTCTCAGAAGAAGAATAAGAACTTAGTGCTCTGTTGTTCAGCTCTAACCGCTGATGAAAAAGTAAGCAAACATGATAATTTTCATGGATCTTAGTTATTTGAGACAAATGAGGTTCATTAACTGGTGATAACTTAAATCCTCAACTTACAGGAGCTTGTTTCTACATTAAAGAGGTTGTCTGGAGTGACAGTAGTCAAGAACTGGGACCTAAGTGTCACCCATGTCATTGCTTCTACAGATGAGAAAGGAGCATGCCGAAGAACTCTCAAATATTTGATGGGTGTCTTGGCTGGGAAATGGATAATGAGCATCGACTGTCAGTAACCTTGTTTTCGTAACTGCAAATTAATATGTTAGAGTAACAAATGTGTTCTCTACAACCAGAGTTTAGTTTCTGTTTTTGTCCATCTTAACTTTTTTATGCCTGCAGGGATTATTGCTAGCTTGGAAGCCACAGAATTTATTGATGAGCAACAATATGAGATTAAAATAGATACTCATGGCATTGTGGATGGGCCTAAGCTTGGAAGATTGAGGATTTTAAACAAGGTTACATCTTTCTCCAGATTTATCGTCAACAATAAACTAATCAAGTGCATTTCAATTTGTTTGGATAACAGTTGTTACAGTTGTAATTGTTTTTCTGGAGTGGTGGCGGTTAGAGTAACGTTTAAGTCCTTTTGTGTATAAAACACTCTTTTAGGTTGTATGCATTCCCAAATAGATTCCTATTCCATTAAGAGAAAGGAACTTTAACTAGAATGTTTGGAGCATTAAGGTTGTCATTTCCTTTGATTCTTTGACCCCCCACCTCACCCCCTAAATTAATCTACCAAGTAGAAGTTGATGTTCAGTTGGAATGATTGCTTATAGGTCTCACTGCATTTTCATCTTCTGCTAGCTGCAGTTACATCATTTGTGAAGGTCCTGTTATGCATTCGTTAAATATCAAAATTCCTGTTTTGCAGCAACCAAAGCTTTTCAATGGATACAAGTTCTTTTTTATGGGTGACTTTTTACCTTCATACAAGAGCTACCTACATGACCTTGTTATTGCTGCTGGAGGAATTGTCCTTAACAGGAAGCCTATAGCAGTGGATCAGGAAATTCTTTCACCCGGATGCTCTCCACCGTTTGTAATTTATAGTCACGAACAACTTGATCAGTGTGAAGGAAGTGAAAAAATTTCAATTATAGTGCGCAGAAGATCTGATGCAGAAGTTTTGGCTAGTTCAACTGGAGCTGTAGCTGCCAGCAACTCATGGATTCTAAACTGCATTGCTGGCTCTAGGTTGTTGGAGCTAGAATAGTGTAAAATTTCTACCCATGCTTCTCACATCATGCAACAAGACTTGGTCTTTTTCATCTGTCATTATATAAAAGTAAGTATTTCCCAAATGACTGTTCATGTCTTTGATCATTCAGTTACTTGTACCCCAAAAATCATGTTTTTTTTCTTCTGTTGATGTATAAGCTAAAAAAATTAAATAAAAATCCAGTCCAGTTTGCGTTTTCTATAGTTTTAAAGGTTTGATCAAATCTGCAGAAAGAGGAGCTCAAAATTGCTGAATCAATCCATAACTGTATGCCATCCACCCAAAAAAGTAGATTCAGGATTCTGCTCTTCATTATAATTCCATGAAGAGCACTTCAAGGTCTTGTAAAAGGGTTACATTGCAAGTTAGGACAATGAGGCCAAATTATTAATCAACTGAAGACAAAATGGATACCTGTAACTTGCAGATGAATAAAAAAACAACATTACTAGTTATTTCCTGTTACATAGCATATACTTGACTCCTTTATTACATTGACTCCATAACAGAGAAGAATGGGCTAATGTTTCTCCATTTTCAGTGGAACACCATGATCCTGGACCATGCCAAAGAAAACCTTGAGAACCATCTTTTCTTCCTTGTGTTTTAACACTTGTTTCTAAGTTACTCATGCAAAAACTGTTGGCTTGCAAGCACTAATATCTACTTTTGGTTTGACACATTCCCCTTCTTTTGGACCATGTTCTGCCACCTGCATTTTAAAGCATTCAAACATATGCTCTAATTCAACGATCTCCTCTTGGATATTTGTCGAGGGCACATTTTCAGAGGCCATTTGTTCTTTAAAGCTGTGGATTCTGTCAAGTCCAGCACCAATTTTTTCTGTCATTTCCTCCATGGTTGCATGCATCGCCATGTTTTCTGCTTGTGCATCCTTCCATTTCCTCTTAATGGACTTATACCCATTCAATGACTTCAGGAGGTTCTCTGAAAGTGCCTTATTTCTCTCTTGGAGGGCAATGTTTCCTTGCAATTCTCCTCCATCACTGCTATGCCTCCTTTCTTTTTGCTTGGTGGCACGTTCATGTAACCTTTCCACTAAATTCTCATTTTGTTCTTTGAGATCATTGATGAGGTCCTCCATTTCATTCAACTCGTGGACTTTCTTTGAGAGCTCTGCTGCCATAATCTCTTTTTCTTTTCCTAAGCTTGAACACATGACCTCAAGGCTCTTTCGTGCTACCAAGCTTGCATTTAGCTGTTTCCTCAGCTTTTCTTTCTCATCAATCATCACCTCGTGGTGCTTCTTGTCTATGGGAACATGACTAGTAGATTCAGCTTCTGATGGTGATTTGTTACCAAAAGATTGACATTTCTGAATTCTCGTCCTAACACTATCCAGAATGGTCATCATGGTTGCCACCCTCAACATTCTCCGGCCATCGTTCTTCTCTTTGTTACAAGCATTTTTGTGTTCTTGAATCAACTTTAGCAATAACTTAATGTTGGCTGCAACCCCTAAAAATACAGATATTTGCAACATAGAATAGAAATTCAAAACATGAATATCTCATTGAATTATATATGAATGAATCAAGAAAACATAATAATATCCCAACAAAAAAACAAACATAAAATGATCAAACATTACCTTCTAAAGCTGAATCATCATAACATTGTTCAAACGTTGAATTAGACATTAAATCAGGAGATGAATTTATGCGGAGTCTACTCATGATCAATATTATCTAAAAGAAAAATGAAGAGAAAATCCTCAAGAAAGATATTTATGAGGAATGAAATATATAGAGAAATAAATACAAATGAATTGGAATGCTGAATTAAGAAGAAAAGGGTAGTTTCTAAAGTGTAAATATATAATATAAAGATTGTACTAATTAGATAAATTAAATTATAATATGATTTTGAGAGATCCAAAGAAGGAGAGATTGCTTTGCAAACCCTCTTTCTTTTTTCTCTTCTTTCCTTCTATTCTCTCATTATCTGAGAAATTTTTATTATTAAGTAGAATGAGGAAAAAAAATATTTTTTTTTCTTCAACTTGTGTTGTATTTCTACAATATTCAATGTTTTTGTTGGAAGTTAGCTTGTCAGAGAAAAATGGTTGGCTCATGGAAGTTATTTTATGCGTAATTATTGGCAATTGATTGATTGGCTCTTACCTGTTATTGACTTTCTTAGACACAACAGTTGGCTTCATGTGATCACTCCATACCTTATTCACTTATCACTATTCTCATTTCATTTTTTTTAAATTTTAGTTCTATATAACTATTGTGGATTTAATTAAAAAAAGAAGAAGAGGACATCACCATTCATCTAGAATGTAAAAATTAGAAGAGAAGATCAGGCATTTAACCATAAGGGTGAAATAGTCTTTATTCACTTATAGTGAGGAAGTTGGTTAATATTGTGATCAATTAGAAATTAGGTTAACAGTAAATATACTCAATGCTGTACAAATACTGATTTTGTGAACCAAGGAGAATAATTCTCTCTACCGATTTATCAATTTTGTGTTATATGGCAAGAAATCTTTGCTATAACAGTTCAGGGTTATTTATAGGATGTTTATGCTTTGTCAAGACAATATCTACTTGAAGAAGGTTCAACATCTCAACTAGCAAAAGCATTTCCAGAAATTCAGGATCAAGTAGCTCTTTCAGAAAGACAACCACTTGACATCATTGAATAATAACAACAACTACATCCATTAGCTAACACAAGAAAATATGATAAGAGAATTTGTTTCTCCCAACAAATATGACTTACCCTATGCCCTTTTTAAATATACATCTTAATGAGAATCTATCACTAACAAATAAAGCTTACTTGTCAGCCTTCTCGACTCTCATACAACCGGCTGTCACATATCTATGAACAAGCCGTGTTAGACCCGAGAAGTGTAGATGCTGTCAATTGCAAGGATGAAATAGAGGCATTACAACATAATCATACTTGAGATATAGTGTGTCATGGGATAGTTGGCAAAATAGCCACTTTGAAAATTTAATTGGACATTTAGTCACAAATATTTGATAGAATGGACTATAATTTAAATAATTTAGAGGAAGAATAAGGAAATGCTATCCGATTAATAAATACTACATATTAAAATATTTTGACACATTATTAAAAACATCTAATATTTTAAAATATAAGTAAAGTAATTATTTTGAGTTTAACTATCGATAAATATAATAATTTAAAAATAATAATATTTTTATAAATCATGCATACTAAAATATATAATTTTTTAGACAACCTTAATTTTTATGATTTGTTTTTATTTATGTTCTTCAATTGCAATTTCTTATTTTAAAAAACATAGACGTGTGCCTGTTAATTAAAAAAATTAAACATTCGTGAACGAACATAAAATTTTTCAAACAATAATATTATTTTTTGAGATTTCTCTGTAATTTTGCATGAAAGTAAATTGACGAAAGTTCTTTGATTTTCTTTCTTAAACATTCAATTAAATTAAATAACACTACTTATTTATTTTTTCTTATCATCTAGGCTATCTAAATTTAACACAAATACTCACTTTTATTTTTTAATATAGATCAATACGAATAAAAAAACCCATCTTCAAAAAGGCTCTACTGACTTTGTTAATAACACTACTAAAAAAAGACTCTTATTTATTGCTAATAACACTACTAAACAATGTTAAAACTCGACTGACTTTGTTAGGTTGTCGGTGATTTTAAAGAAAGAAAACCAACACAATTTCGTCGGTTATTTTTCACACAAAAATACATAACACTCTTAAAAAGAAATTATTATTTTTTAAAAAGAATTTTTTTTTTTTTTTAAATTTTTTAACTAAAATTAAATGACACATGTCATTTTAAAATAAGAAGTTGCAATTGAAGAATATATATAAAAATAAATAAATCATAAAAATAGTATTTCGTGTTAAAATGAAACATAAAAAATGGAGTTCAAGGGTTAAAATGGAACAAGGCTAAGATAAAGTGCCAAAATGAAAAATGTGGACAAGTTAGAGGGGTTGTATATGTGTTTGGCCTATTTGGAATATACCCGACATCACCCATGTGACCTACTTCCAACATACAAAAGCAACTCTTAAGTTTAAATATATACACTTTGGTCCCCCTATCCTTCCCAACAAATATGGAATAATGTGTATTTTCATTTATTAAAATTTTATTTGAAAAAGAACAACTCTCCAACAAGAAATCAAAAAAGGCTCATTATTGCTGCTGATTTTGTCGATTCTGATGAATTTTTCGGCGATATTTTCCATTTCACAAGTAAAATCATCATCATCTTATTCATTTCTTTCATTTTTACTCCATTTTCTTTCAAAAATCAAGCTTCAAAATTATTTTTCCTGCCATTTTAGAAGCTTGAGAAATCTTCCATAATCACTTGATAACTCATTAGTAGATACATTTCAGTAGTTTAGAAGCATTAAAAATACGTTTCTCCATTGCAGGAGCTTAATTTTGAACCTGATTTTATTCAGTCACGTTTTTGTACAGATTTCGCATCACATCGATCGTTAAAGACTGATACTGTAATCTAGTATCTATCTTTGTAGTCTATAATGATAGTAGCTGAATTTGTTGTTGCTAGTGGTGATTATATGAAAGTATGGGAGGAGACTCGCAAAAGCTGGAATAAAAAATCTTTTAGTAAAACGACAATCCCCATTGCGCTGCGTCGCAATGGTTTATATGACGATATGATTGCAAGCATAATTGAGGCAGGTTAGTTTGCCTGTGGGCCAAATGACTTGGTGATTAGCTAACAAATGAATGGGAGGGGAAAAATACATCCCACATTCATAAAAAAAATGATAGTCACGTGAGCTTGTACATGTTAGATATTTGTATTGATGGCTTTAGGCATTGAGGATAATTGTCAATGTGAGGTCTCCAATTGAACCAACGAATTCATTTAACGACGACAATGATTAGTTTGGAAATGAAAGCTTGGGTGATCATTCAAAGGAGAGTTCAAAGGAGAACTTGGATGATCATTCAATGAATATACATGATCATCCAATGAATGTAGAAAATCAGCCAGTAGATGCGAAAAATCCCAAACCCAAATGTTCTGAAAAAATATAGAGAGAACAGGAATTGGGATCACAATCCAACCATTCCTTCTACGATGAAACTAATTTATGCATAAATCAAACTTTTAGTAGCAAGAATGAGTTGCAATTCTTATTAGCCGAAGCGGAGGTAAAGAAATCTTTTGATTTTGCTACTGTGAAAAATTGTACTAAATACTTAAAGGTGGATTGTGTATCTCACAACTGTGCATGGATATTGCGGGCAAGGAAATATGAGTGTTTGGACATATTTCGTATCTACAAGTACATTGACGAGCACAATTGTGGCATTGAACATTCCAATAGTAGCCATAGAAAAATCTCAATTAAGGTCATTACTTCACTTTGTGTAAATATGTATCATGATGGCAAGAGTCCAAATGTTAAAGAGATTCACACGGCTATGTTTAGTTCTTTTCGTTGTAGTTCAAGCTATTGAAAATGTTGGAAGGAAGGTGTGGTTGCCAAGGGAATGGTCCGAAGGAAAGCAGAGAATGGATATTCATGCTTACCGCCTTTTTCCTACATGACTGAAACTCTTAATGTTGGTTCTAGCTATAATATCATGGTAAACGGGGATAGTCATAGGTTCATGTATTATTTCATGGCCTTCGCTGCTTGCATTAGGGGATTTGCCTACATGAGAAAGGTAATTGCGGTCGATGACACTTATTTACATGGTAAATACAAGGTGTGCTGTTGAGTGTTGTTGTACAAGATACGGAGAATCATGTTTATCCAATTACCTTTTGTGTCGTGGACAAAGAGAATGATGCATCTTGGACATTCTTCTTTGAAAAGTTGAAGGAGATTGTGGTCGATGAATCAGAATTGTGCTTTATCTCCGATAGACACAAGAACATCGTCAACGATATTGTGACGGTTTATAATCATATTCACCACATATATTTTATGAGACACCTCGGGGAAGATCTCTGCGTAAATCATCATTGTGGAGATTCCCTTTATCTATACTACAATGTGGCAAAGACTTATTCTTTGGAGGAGTTTAACAATCATTTTGTAAAATTTAAGAACAAATCATTATTGTGGAGATTTCCTCTATCTATACTACAATGAGGCAAAGACTTGATTGAATTTGTTTTTGTAATCAAGATACTGGATATGTAAAGCTACTGTTTTTTTTACCCAAACATTTTGGCCAATTTAATGTTAGCTATTATTTAAATTACTCATGATCTAATATAAATCAATCAAAAGATGACATACATTTTGTAGACTATCTTAATGTTTATTATCGAGTCCATTCGTTGTGTATTAAGATATGTCTTATTAATATATGAAAATTCATGATATTCGTAGTGCAATGATTTTAATGCATGAATTAAATAATTAAAGACCCAACTGTCCTAAAAAAATTAAAATTTTCTCTACTAAAATTGTGAAGGGTATCATGCATGCTATTCTTAATGCACCAAATCAAACAATGTATAAGAAATAATCTAAGTATAACCAATCCAAATATAACTAATACAAGCATTATTTGAATATGCACTCTACCAAACGACCCCTTAAAGAATTGTAAATAAATTAGATGTTACCGTTGAAAAAGTAGCAATTAGAACATTTGTTACCTTTGTAAAACTTGAATATCTAAATATTTACTGGTTGTCAAAATATATAGACCCTTTATAAAATCGATACATCTGTATGTGCGTGGTGTATGTCTGACCAATGAGATTTACACTCTAACATTAGTTGTAACACCCCAATTTTTTTTTTGAGCTAAGACTTGAACCATCCTTCGCAGTGAGTAAGTTTTTATCAAGAAATTTAATTTTTTCTTAAGTGTTAAGGTCACTAGATATAGCACCTAGAGTTCCAAAAAGAATTAAAGAGAATTCATTCAAGTCATTCCTTAGTTCTTTTAAGTTTTGGGTCAACTTCAAATGACCATAACTTTTAGCACATGACGAGTTAGGAGACCCACAAGATATCAAATTAAAGGTCTTAGAATCCTCTTTCCAACGCCGCCAAGTTTGCTAATTTTCGAGCTCGTATGAGAGAGATATTCCTGTTTGAAGTTGGGCTGTCCAAATAAGGAAAGTTGCCTGGAAATATGAGGGGTATTTTGGTCTTTTCCTTACCAAATCAGATTTAATTCATTTTTAGTAAGGTTTTAA